AAGGGCTTAGCACCTTCCATGGTGAGCATGTAAGTGAAGTTACTGCTTAGGGAAGTCTGGCTACTTGCTTTGGTACTGAAATAGAAGCAGCTTTCTTCTCAAAATCCATCCCAAAGGGCCAAGACTTAAGTATTTTGTATTCCTGTTAGTTTGAATGGAAATTTTTCCTTACTAAGGACTTTGGCATTGGGATTGATTATGGAGCCAGGCAATTCTTTTATGTAGGTCCATTAATTTCGATCCTGCTAAATGTGTATTCTTAATTGCACTGAGTCGATGTCCATAAAGAGATCAGAGGAAGGAACTGATCCAGAAGGGGGAAAACTTGGTATTGTCTGCTTTGAAACTGTGAGATAGAGTGACCACATCATCTTGGCTGTGACCTTCAGATTGGTGAAGTGAATGTGTAGCTTTTAAGAAATGCGTGGTATAATTAATGATTAATCAGGACACTTCGTTACGCATCACTTTCGACTCTGCAGTCGAGGCTTGTGTGTGTATGGATGAATGTTTTTTATTTTAGTTTTTCTGCAACTCATCTGTGCTGACTGCACCTATTTTCTCCCTGATGTCTGTAGGCTCTAATAAACTGAGGAGTTGAGGCAGACAGTTCCTTAGGCAAGAGCTCTGCCTCGGCTGGTGATGCTGGTGAGACCTGCCTAGACTATAAAAGGCTCAGAAAAGGGGACAAGCTTTTGGCTGGAAGGCATAAGAGAAGTATAATGGCTTTGACGTCGCCCCTTCTTCTCTTTTCTTAGATATTTAATTGGCGTTAGGAAACAGAGCAGGTCACTGAACTAATAAACAAAAAAAAGGACTGTTTGAGTCAGAGATATCCTTAGGAAGTCTCCTGTTTGCTCTGTTGTTATGAATTCAAAGATATTTAGTGGTTTTTAGAAAATCCTTTGCTGTCAGAGTGATGTGATAAAGCAAAAATCTGAACTCTCATCATAGAAAAGATGTTTGCCTGCATATTTGGAGAGAACAGCTTGAAGATGTGACAGCTTTGGATTTGAATGAAAAAAAAAAACCCCAGCCACCAAACAAATAAAAAGACCCCCACAGCTTTCATTCCTATGGTGTTGCTGTCTTGTATAAATACCCAGAAAGAACTGGTTTATAATTTTGTGTTTATTAAGAGAGTATATCTTTCACCACCTCCTGCTTCCTTGCTCTCTAAAACCTGCTTGACTCATTCTTAATGCCTTAATATTACAGGTCAAACAAGAAATCTTATGTAATACAATCCATTGTAATTTCCCGAGCAGTATCTGCATCAAGCCAACAGCTTTTAGTTGACTGGAGAAGTTGGCTTTTTTCCTGTCTTTACCTAGAGGCTGGTCCCTTGAAACTGGGCTCAACAGCTGCTTCCTTTTTTTTTTCCCTCCCATTTTTTAACAATGTCACAGTCAAGAGCCTATTAATTGAAAGGGAAAGGTTCAGAGAGATGAGAATTGCTGGACACAATAGCCTTAATATCCTCACAGAAATACCAGAACTGTGGTCATGGGAGGAAGAATTGTGATCCTCCCTTCATCTTTAGAGAGCAGAGAGGATCAACATAAAACCATAAAATGGTTTGTGTTTGAAGGACATTGGAGCTCATCTCATTCTAACCCCTCTGCTGTGGGCAGGGGCATCTCACACTAGTCCAGATTGCTCCAAGCACTGTCCAACCCATCCTTTGACACTTCCTCAGCTTCTCTGGGCAACCTGTGCCTGTCTCCCCACTCCCACAGAGAAGAACATCTTCATATCTCTGCTAAACCTGCCCTCTTTCAATTGAGAGCCATTCCCTCTTGTCCTGTCACTATCTGTCCTTGTCAGGAGTCCTTCTCCAGCTCTATTGGAGTTCCTTTAGGTACTGGAAGGTGCTACAAGGTCTCCCCAGAGCCTTTTCTTTTCCAGGCTGAACAGCCTCAACTCTCTTGGCCCATTTTCAGAGCAGAGTTCTTCCAGCCTTTGATCATCTTCATGAGCTCTTCTGGACTAACTCCAACAGGTCCATGTTCTCCTATATTCAAGAGTAATCATTTTTAGACAGGACAGATCAGTTAAAATTTCTATCCTGTTACCAAAATGTTACCTTCCCTATGCAGAACAAAAAATCAGTATTACAAACCAAATAGAATAGAGGGAGCAGCAGTGGTAAAGATTAAAACACCGAGGTTGGGTCCCTCAGGACACTGCTGCCTTGTTCTTCTACTACTCAGGGAAGGGAACAGACTCTTTGTCCATGGGGGATGAGGACAAGAAATGATGGGCTTCAATTGCAGCAAGTAAGATTTACTTCTGTGACAAAAACTTTCTAGGATGAAATACTCCATTAAATTGCTTATGGGGGTTGTGGCGACTCCATCATTGCAGATCTTTAAGAATATGTTAGAAAAACATCTGTCAGGAATGATATCTGTAGAGCTGCTCCTGCCTTGGGGCATGGAGATGGACTAGATGACCTCTGGAGGTCCCTTTCAGCCCTTTCCTGTGAACTCTAATCCAGGACTTTTCATTACTCATCCCTTGAAGCTCCAAAGGTGTCAGGACTATCACACTTCATTTTTACCCTTACACAGGTTTGGTGTTTTTTTTTTTTTTTTTTTCTGGATGGTTTTTATTCATTTGGAGAGACTGGCTTCAATTACATCTATCATATGATTCTTTTATAGCCTGTATTTATTTTTTTTTTCAGTCCATCCCCTCTAGGCCTTTTCTCTCTGTTTGTTAAATAGATCCTACTCACTTCAAAACTTTTTGAAAGCGAAAGTCACTCAAAACTCTTTATTTTATGGAAATAGAAATTTCAAATTAGACAAAATGAGTTTCTGGAACTTCAAGTTTCAAATCAGACAAAATGAGTTAGAGTTGCTGTTAAGTATCAATGTTGTATTCAGTGCTTCAACATATACAGGAATAGGAACTGGTTTTGCCTTGTTAAAATAAGTGTGGACAGGAGCAGATGATGAGAAGGGGAGCTGTCCAGAATAGAGGCTATTTTCTTGTTTGTACAGGAATTTGGTGCACTGTGGCCCTGAGCTGTAAGAGCTGCTCTAATAACCTTGCTTATGAGGGGAGGCACACGAGGGATCATTGCTGTAAGGTACAAAAGAACTAAGGTCTGTGCTTTGAAGTGATAACATGATGATTTAGGGATGATTAAAAAAACACAGTAAATTAAAAGATAACCAAGACAGTGTGATACTGCAATTGATGGTTTTTTATTCAAGTATCGTAGTGGCAGTAAGAGCCCCACACAACCTCACAGTCCTGAGTCCAGGGAGAGCCCTGACACAGCTGAGAGTATCACAAGCTGGTGTGGAACAGTAGGTTCCCATTATATTTGCCCTTTCTCATCTCTTCCTGACATGAAATTAAATTTGTTCTGTTATTGGTGTGTGATGGTTTTTAAGTGGTTTCCTTGCAGGATTGCTTTAGGGCTTCCCCAGCTCTCAATTTGGGTTAGTAAAGTGGAAGATTGCACAATAAAAGTGAGGTGTCAGGCTCGAGGTAAACAAACGTCCTGTTTTATTGCATAGTAGTTTTCCAGTTCAGCTCCAGGATGCCTTGGTCTGCGAAATAGCTGTGCTAATTTTCCACGTGTCTGAACGTAATTGCTACAGTCAAAGTTGTGGAGAGAAACAGTCCCTGCTCCTGCTCCTGTGTTTGGAGGGGAGCACCGTGCTCAGGACATCGTGCTCATTTCAACAACTGCCCATGACTTTCTTGGCCTTCTTGTTGGCCTTCTTGCTTTTCCATCCACTGTTTAAAGTGACAGTCAGAAGATGAGAAATCCCTGGAGGCGTTTTGCACGGGGCTACACGGTGCAGTGCTGCACTTGGATGTTTTATGTCCCCCTGAATATTTCATGTTCAGTAAATGGCTGTGCATTTGCAGCAATGGAGCAGAGGATGAGAGTGATGGAGTAGAAATGGAGTGGTGATGGAGCAGAGATGGAGTGCCACAGGGAGATCTGATGGGCACAGTACTGCATTATGAAACCTGTGCTGGTCACTGCTTGTCTCTGCTACATGGGACAGTGCATTTGCAGGATTTTCAAGTTTAACTTGGATAATAATTATATTTAAATCAGGAAATTATCATCCCTCCCTCCTCCTAACTTTCAAAAAAAGTTGACCAACCCATTTGTGTTTTTTGAGGAGGTGACAATGATGTGTTCTGGGTGCTGTTTGCTTCATGGTTGCATTTGATGTGTTCTATTTAATTATGAAATTAAAAAAAAAAAAAAAAAAAAAAAAGGAGGAGAAAATGCACTTTGGTAGCTCCAGGCTGCAGGAGTTGCCATGTCTGCTTCAATCTGCCTGCTCCCTCTAAAGGGTCTGTTTGCTGGAACCCATGGACCCCTTCAGCAAAGTTACCAAGGCAGAACTGGAAAGGCTTGTCTTTATGGAAACTTTGATTAATTTTTGTCAAGGGGTGACCAGAGATGCTGTGTTAGAGAGCTGTCAAGTACCGTATGTACAGAGGCCCTGTCATCTGAATTTCAAAGTCAGAGCCATATTTTAAGAGACTTGCCCTTTTCATCCTATCTGGTCTGTGGGGGAGTGTTGCTGCGACTGAGCCCTGTTTGGCCACGTAAAAGCAGCCTGCCAGGCTTCCTTTGCCAGGGACTTTGAGTTTAAATCTATTTCGGGCCTTTAAAAAGGTCACTCGAGGCTGCCAGCCAGAACCTGTGTCTTAATTCAGTGCTATTAGAATCACAGAAAAATAAAATCCCCCAATCTCAGGCTGGAGGGCAGGGAGCAATGGAAGTATCAGACACTTTATAAACTGCAGAATATGCTCTCTGTTCAAACTGCTGCTGCAATCTGAAGCAAGCAGAAGGATCCCTGAGCACTGGGAAGGTTGCTCAGGTGCTGCTGTAGTCTCTGGGCTCCACCGGTGGGGATATGATTGCTGGTCTGGGGCCTGAAGCAGCTGCTTTCCTTCGGTTGCCGAGAGGTCAGGATTATGTTCCTTAATTTACCTTAGGTGTTAAGTGGTGTACCTTTCTGAGGTGAGCTGGATCTGGCTGTTTAGGCTCCCCGCAGCTTTTGCTCTGTGTCAAGGCCAAGGAGAAGCAGCGTAAGTGTGCAGGACTTGGGTCTTGATTAGGGATTATTGCACTGTTGGCCGTGGCTGGTGGGCAGGAGGAGAAGCTGAACTTGATGCCTCCATGGCTCATTCCCATCCTCTGCTGCTGACCCTGAAGGAAGGTACCCAGCTTAATCTTGCTTTATATCATCTGATATACTTAATTACCTTAGTGAAAATGTTCCTGTGGATGCCTACTAGAGTAATAGGTTTACTTCTTCTTTATTCCTACTTGTAATCCTTCAGTTTGTGCTCTTATTTGTAATGTAACACGTGTTCTTTTAAAATTGGGAGGAGCTGACATCAGTGGTTTGAAGAGCCAAATAAAAGATTTCTTATAACAGTAATCGGTCTGGCTGATTTCCCAGCAGCATCTCAACCTGCCGGGGTACAGAACAGCCAGAACCCAGGACAGAGTCTCTTGTTCCATATTTGGGTCTAATTTAATAATATTTTGTTGATTTGCAGTGCAAGTTTGATTCTGGGTTTTGACTGGTACCTTGGACTGTAGTTTTTTGTGATCTGGAAAACGTTATATTTGTTTCACATTATTATATCAGGAGGAGTTTAAATTTGTTAGCTTCTTTACCAAATAACCTGATGAATGTGAGAAGTAGCTTTAATGTGATTTCTCATTGATTATTTTCATATAAAAGTTCTGTGGTCTGAAGACTAATAAGTTTGTGCTCACTTGCCATCTTTTAAGTAGGTCTTAGTTTTAATCTTGTAGGTTTTTAAAATTGAATCAGCAGAAATTGCAAAAATTATGTTTATATTCACTTGCTATCTTGCTAATGGATCTCAGCTTTAATCTCTCTGATTTTCCAAATTGCTTTAGTAAAAATGATGTCACTAGGATCTGATTAAAGCGTTCAGTTTCGGCTTAGTTCTCTCCTAATATGTCAAATTTTCATATGCCAATGTGAAAAGTTCTAGCACATTAACCTCTTATTAGATCCTTATTTCTCAAAGTATTTTGAGAGCTTTGTGTTAAGTTCTTTTAATTAAAATCTTGGCTGCTAATAAAACATAGTTGTCAATTTCGTAGATAATTGCTGTGTTAATTTTGGAAGTTATAAATAAAATTGGAAAGTAAATTTGGTATCTTGTTATTACATGGCAAAAAAATAGCAGTTACAGTAGGGATGCTGTCTGCTAATTCACTTACCTCCTGGTAGCTAATCAGTGCTTTTATTCATGTCATGCATTTTGGCTGGATGAGCTCCAGCTTGATACGATAATGACTGGAAACAAGTAGGGTGGCGTGGTGGGTGCTGCTCCCGTGCTGTAAATCAGTGGTTAAAGAGACCAAAGTAAGGAGGTGGTTTGCTGGTGTCAGCTCCAGCCCTTTTCCCAGCCTTTCACGGATAGAAACAGTGCTGACACCTTTCCATCATCTGACACCTCCTCCTTTTCTGTGGCTTTGGATACCTTCTAGAAATAGACTGTGAGGTGTAGCTGACATGTGTGACTGAACCATGTGGACAGTGAGTCCTTTTCTCCCTTTTGAATTTTTCTGTGGAACAGGTATTTGTCCTCTAAACAAGAGGCAGATGATTAAATAAACCTTTAGGAAAAGCAGATGGGACTATGAATTTCTTTCTCTTATTCTTTAATTTTCTTGTTTAATTTCTTTATCCTTTTTCTTTTTCTTTGCAAGGAGCATTAATAAGAAAAAAGTTGACTGGAATGTGATTTTTTTTTTTTTTTTTGATACTGTTATACAACCCTAAATTTGAAGTGTAGTCTCAGATGAGTTAGTGGGTCTGTGTCTTATATTTTGACCGAACAACAAGGAAAAAGTGTAATTAGATCCTAAGTCAGAGTTAACTACCACACCAGGGCAGCTACAAGTCCCTCTCCTGCTGGACATGTGCAGGGCTCCTCAAACCACCTCCTTAAATCCTTCATCCTGAAATCGCATCTTCGTGGGTGGCTCCTGTGCTGCCAGTGGGCTCTGAGCACTGGTGCCAGGGTCCCCCCTTCCTAGAGGGAATTATAGGATCAAGGTTGGATAGTACTGCAGTATAACATGATACTATTTTAGGAACAACTCAGTTTTTCACAGAGGGAAAACCAGTGGTAGGTTGGCTGCTTAGAAGGGCTTTGTATGCAGCTGAGGCTGAAAAATGTGAGAATTTCCAGAAGAAATACGAGTTGTGTTTTGCATGCAGGGAGCAGCACCGTCCCTGACGTCCTAAAGTTTTGAAGTCCAATGCTCACCACCGCCTGGTGCCTTCAGCTGGATTTACTGTTATCAAAGCAGAAACTAATAAAACTCTGCCAAATCCCAAGAGAGACTTGAGGAGATTTCTAGGAGCGCTTGCCACATTTCATGTCTCCCACACAGTCGCTTTGGCGGAATGGTGCAGGCTAATAGCGTGTGCCTCGCTGCTGCTGCTGGGTTGATGCACGGCTGGCAAGTGCCTTTCTCACAGTCCCCTCCTGGGAACCATCAGCCTCCGTGTGCTGACTTGTTTAGCATTAACTTCAGCAGCCTCAGTGTTGCCCTGGAACTCTGTTTTTGCTTTCTTCGTCACCTTGAGTTGCCTCTCCATTAGCAAGCTGGATGAAGAGGATAACGATATAATGGGGTAAAATATTTCTAAATTGGTATTTCAGCTCTCCTAATAGGCTTGTAAGGGAGGGGTGGGCCCTGACACCTGCGGGAGTGTGTGGCAGAGAGGAGCACGGAGCGGGAGTAAGGTCAGGATGGACTAAAATGATTTAAGGGCATGCAATCAAAAGCAAATGATCATTTTGGGAGGTAAAAATCTAGCACTTAGGCTAGAAGTTAATGTCAGTTCTTGCAAGCTGTAACAATATCCTGCCCTCTATGAAGACTGCCACCGCTTAGCAAAGTGAGATGCTGAAACCATCCTGTAAGTGGCTGCTGGGGATGTCAGTGCAGTAAACATCAGTGAGGTCAGGCTGCTGACCTTCAAAAAGAGTTTTCCTTTCTGGAGGAGAAACTCCTGAAAATGCAGTCTGCTAACTAGGTTTTTGGTGTTTTATAGTGTGCAATGTCTATAATCTTATAAATGGTCTATTCCTGCTGCAGGCACAACGTAACTGTTTGCATCCAGTCTGCATGGGAGACTTGGATCAGGATGTTTTAAAATCTCTTATTTGGAAATTAAGTAGCAATGGTGGAAACTCTATGAAAAGAGTAAAGAAGAATTATTTGGGGGAAGGGAAAGATGATAATTTGTGTCCCAAAAGTGTGTGACTTGCTAACATTGTGCACAGTGTGAGATTCTACAGGTAATCAATTTTGAGAAGGTTTTATAACATGGCACGACTCACTACATGGCTGAGCTTAATGTAGTAATAGATCAGTGTTCTTTCTTTCAGGCAGTGGTGCTATTTAAGTAGAACATTCATTATATCATGATAACAGAGATCCTCGAAAAGCTAAATAATTGAAGGCAGATGCTGTAAAAGCAGTGAATACACATTACAGTTGCAAAGGCTTCTGTTGTGGAAAGCCACCTAATTGTATTCTGCTGCAATTAATAATCATCTTAATGGCTTTGCATATTTATGACAATATAAAAATAAATAAGACAATACATAGGCTAGGATAAAATTTGGGTTCATAAACTTTTATTGCTTGAAAAGTAATTAAGCATGCCTCTAATCACAGCATCATTTTTCATTGTGGATAGGTTTGGGTAGAATGAGAAAGTTTGGAAAAAGAAAATGTGACTGTTCAGTAATTTACTTTGCATGAGAGATCTCATATCACAGATATTAAAAATGAAGAATATGCTTGCTTCTCATTTGCCTGCCTGTTTTGACCTGGAATACCCTGAGTATGTGGAAGGACATCGACTCTCCTTCTTCCCCTGTGAGATGATGGGTGAAGTTTTTGGCTGCCATCTTTTTGTATAGAACAGGAGGCCCCAGTGAAAGATTAGAGAAGCTTCTCCTGGCCTCTAAACAAATACTAATAATATCTGAGATTTTGAGATTAAAATTTTTCTCTAGGGCATGCAAATATAAATTCAGGATAAGACCACAGGAAGTATTGCTTAAAGTTTTGGCCCAAGTGGAATTATTATCTTCCTACATCCATGCAACTAGAGATGAACTTGACTGGCTGAAGTTTCTCTTCAATCTGCACAGTAACCACTTACTCTCATTACAAATCCTTTTCCTCTTTACAGCCCTGTGCATTAGAAAATGTTCCTGCTCTGTTTTGACTTGACCTTTCATAGTCACTAAAAATCAATACACTTTAATGCATTTATTAAATAAGGAGGATTCTAGGAATTAACATGCAAGGTTCACTGCTGTAGCAAGAGGAGAAGGTAGAGTGGAATATTACTGCACAGCCAAGCCAGGCTCCAGTGGTTGCCACTTTCCTTCAGACCTGCATGTAATGACAGTTTTTCTTTAAGATGAACAAATAAATGAGTTCAGTAAAAGCTCCAGGTGTGGGGTGAATAACTTCAGCAGGAGAAGCAAGATGACTTTTGTCTGCCTTGTTGGCATTCAGAGAGTTCCTAAATTCCTAAACTGATTAGCTGTAGGGATATTGGTGGCTTCACTTGTGAAGATGGAACTAACTTGGATTCCTGAAGGTTCACTGACTGTAGAAAAGTCTTTTGTTTGAGCAAGCTGACTCAAAAGATTTTAGCATAAGCAGACCTCTCTCACTCATCTTTTGTAACCCCGAGTTAGTCTATCAGCTAATTCTCTGCTGCAGTCCCTGTTTCCGAGAAAAAACTGACATTTGTGACCTGATTTTTTTAAGTAATAAGATTTATGCAACCTTTGTGCTCAATTTAGTGTTCTATAGGATGTATATACTTACACATCCCTTCTAAGTTTAGCTGCCCCCATTTGTGCAAGTCTCTGATTTGCACGTACCTTCGGGGTTGCTGTTCTTTATCGTGCTGTCAGAGACTTGTGTGCATGTGATGTGCGTTTTTAGGTCCCTTGAAGGAGGAGTAAGAGGAAACTGAGCTTTTTTCTTACTATGTTCAAGTCTCTAGCTCCAAATATACACCTATTAGCTCATAACCTTTGAGTGGCCAGTGTAAATGTTGTTGATTTCAGCAGGTTGGCTGAGCTCAGTGTACCTGATACACCAACTTACTTGAAAGTACACCTACCC